AACCAAAAAAAAAAAAAAAAAAAAAAAAAAAAAAAAAAAAAAAAAAAAAAAGGCAGGGGGGCCAGTGAGATGGCTCAGTAGCTGAAGGTGTTTTTGGCTAAGCATAGTGACCAAACCCACACATGGAAGGATAGAACCAACTGTCCTCTGATGCCCACAACCCCCCTCTCACAAAACAAATTAATACATGTAATTTTTTCATTTAGGTATTAGAGCCCCTAATACCTAAATAAAGCCTGAAAACAAACATCTCACACCAGCTTTGAGCCCCTCTACCCCTGTGATGCCATTCCTGGACCCTCCCAAACAAGAACCCTGTAAACAAGGGCCCCTCCCACAGGGACGGTAACCTCCCTTAAAGTCCTGGCTCCAGGCCCCCACCTCTGATTCTTTTCCAGCCTCTCTCTCCCTGCCCCATCCCTCACTGATCTGACTCATCCCCGTTTCTCAGGGCGGCACATGGAGTTCCAGAAACTCAGAGGAGCGGAGCCTAGACCCGCAGCTGACACGGTGAGATGCCTCTGTGCTCACCCCAGATGGGTCCCCTGCCCCCTTCTGCCCTGCACTGTACTGATGCTTTCCTCTCACAGGTTTGCGTACAGCCCCCTGAAGACTTCCGGAGTGCCAGTCCCAGGTCCAGGACCCCTGCCTCGGGCTGGAGGGAAGGGGGAAGGGCGATGGGTTTTGGGGGAGCCACCCGGGGCTCATGCCTGTCATTCTTCAGGAGCCACCTGTCAGAGACTGATGACGACTACGATGATGTGGACATGTAAGACCCTCTGAACCCTCACTGCAGCCTCAGCCTTTCCTGTCACCCACCACTTGAGGTCTGGTGACCCTCAGTGCCCCTCTCACCTTCCTTCCTCATCTCCAGTCCCTGGTCCCCAAGCCCACTGGTCCCCCTACCTTCACCTCTGAACCAAATCCCACCCAAATCCCTTCTTCCCCAACCCTCCCCCGCAACTGCAGTCTGACCTTAAGGGTGCCCATATACTCCACAGGTGCTCTGTCATAGAGCCAGGCCCCCAGCCCTCCACTGTCGTGTCTAGGCAGTGGTTTTTTTCCGAGACAGGTTTCTCTGTGTAGCCTGTACCCCGTGCTGTCCTGGAATTCACTTCGTAGACCAGGCTGACTGAACTCACAGAGATCCGCCTGCCTGTGCCTCCACAGCCTTAAAACATTTTTTTTTTTTAAATTATACGTGTATCAGTGTTTTGCCTGTTTGGACACATATATTCCTGGTGCCTATGGAGGTCAGTAGAGGGCATTGGATCCCTGGAATGGGGTTTTCAGGCTGTTGGGAGCTGCTTTGTGGGTGCTAGGAACCAAACCCAGGTCCTCTGAAAGAATAACAAGTGTGAACCATCTCTCTCCAGGCAGCCCCCCCCCCCACTCCTTTTTTTTTGAGACAGGGTTTCTCTGTGGCTTTGGAACCTGTTCTGGAACTTGCTCTGTAGACCCCGCTGGCTTTGAACTCACAGAGATCTGCCTGCCTCTGACTCCCAAGTGCTGGAACTAGAGGTGTGCACCACCACTGTCTGGCTCTTTTTAATTTTTAATTAAACTGAGAAAAAGTTGAAGCCTGGAGGTGATGACACACACCTTTAATCTCAGCACTCAGGAGGTAGAGGCAGGCCAGTCTCTGAGTTCGAGGCCAGCCTCCTCTACATAGTGAGTTCCAGGACAGCCAGAGAAACCTGTCTCCAAAGTGACAGAGAGACAGAGAGACAGAGAGACAGAGAGAATTTCACTGTGTAGCCCACCTATGTGTTTAGAACGGGCTGGCCTCAAACACAGAGATCACCCTACCTCTGCCCGCCACTTGCTGGGGTTTTGCGTTTGATACAGGGTAACACTAAGTTGCCCAGGCTGGAACTGAATTCATTATGTAGCCCAGGTAATCCTCCTGCCTCTGCTCTCTGAGTAGGTGGGATTACAGGCTTATGACCAGAGGCCCCACCACAGACGGGAGTTTCCCAGTCCAGGCTTTAAGTCCCAGGCCTCACCCTGCACTCGAGCAGTCATCTTAAGTCCCTACATTGTCCCTGCCCTGGCTCAGGGACAGTCTCAAGCTGCTCTCCGTCCACACCCCACCTTCTGTGCACTGGCTTGTGGGGCGGAGGGCAAAGAATGGAGCAGGTGACAGCCCAGAGCTGTCACAGATCCTCAGTCCCAGGCCCCCGCCTGAAACACCCCATCTCGTCCCTTGCACCCACACTGTCTATCCCATCTTTGTGTTTCAGCCCTGCCCCAGCAGAGGACGTACCTCCTCCACTGCCCCCCAAGGTAAGGCCCTTGGGGATCCTGAGGACACTCTAAGTGTTTAATTTAGCTGGTGGTGTCGCGCATCTTAATCTCAGCACTCGGGAGGCAGAGGCAGGCGGATCTCTGTGAGTTCAAGGCCAGCCTGGTCTCCAGAGCGAGTGCCAGGACAGCCAAGGTTACACAGAGAAACCCTGTCTCAAAACACAAGACAAAACAAAACAGTTTGTTAGTGTTTGAAGCCAGAGGCGTCTGAATATTACAGAGGGCTTAAACGTTTGGGGTACAGGATGGATGTACAGAATGGCAGCTGAAGGTGGGTGCGGTGCTGCACTCAGGGGGTGGAGGCAGGAAGATCAAGAGTTCAAAATCAACCTTAGGTACCTGGCAAGTTCAAGACCAGCCTGGGCTACACAGTGAGACATAGTGAGACGCTGTCTCAAAACAAAAATTTGTTTAAAGCTAGGCTGACTGTCTGGGAATCTGGAGTGATGGGTGCTGTGGGATCTGTCAAGTAGCTGGCCTAGTGTCCAGCATTAACCCTTTGTGTTCTGGTGTGTGCTGAGGTCCCTTCTAACGGGGATGAGGTTCTGGGAAATGGTAGAACCCAGGCAGGATGTCATGGGGAGGGTTGTAGCTATGGCTGATTCTTGCTCCTGGAAAAGGCAGAGGTTGGGGTGTAAGGTGCACTACTGGAATCTCCCACATATCTGCTTCCTCCATACTTCTCTCCTTAGCCCAAGTTCCGGTCCCCATCCGATTATGGTTCTGGAGGGGTAGGGGACGACGGACAACTGAGCCCAGGGGTGCTGGTCCGGTGTGCCAGTGGGCCTCCTCCACGTACTCCCCGACCTGGACCTCCCCCAGTCACACGCAGCCCCCACCTCACAGCCCACTCAGGTACCAGGCCTGCCCCGGGGAGGAAGATAGGCAGGGTTGGAAGTCTCTCGGCCTGATCTTGCTTCAACCCCTATCAGATCCCTCACTCTGGAACCCAGCTGCTCCAGAGCCAGGCCAGCCCCCACTCCTACCCCCTAAAAAGGAAAAGATGCGGAGAAAGGTGAGAGCTAGCTACAGGCTCAAGATGGGTGGGGTGGCCCAGTGGGAGATAGGATGGCATTTGACGGGTGACTCTTATTGAGTCCTTCCTCTGTGCCAGACACTGATCTCATGGGATGTGTGTGTGTGTGTGTGTGTCTGTGGGTGGGTGGTGGGTAGGTGCACAGGAGTGTGGATGTATGCACAGGTGTGTGGGTATAGACAGGTGTGTGGGTGTATGCACAGGAGTGTGGGTGTATGCACAGGTGTGTGGGTGTAGACACAGGTGTGTGGGTGTAGACACAGGTGTGGGTGTATACACAGGAGTGTGGGTGTAGACACAAGTGTGTGGGTGTAGACACAGGTGTGTGGGTATAGACACAGGTGTGTGGGTGTAGACACAGGTGTGTGGGTATAGACACAGGTGTGTGGGTGTAGACACAGGTGTGTGGGTGTAGACACAGGTGTGTGGGTGTAGACACAGGTGTGTGGGTGTAGACACAGG